TACTATTATACCGGATTACACTGATAATGAAAGTACTCCTATATCCAAATCTCCAAGAGTAAATACTGAGATTATTCCCAAGGTAAGTGATGAAATCGATATTAGCAAAACTAATAAAGATATATTCCCAACCCAGGAGATAAGGAACGTGGCCCCGTACCTTGCACAGCCGGAAAATCATACCTCCTCTTTGATGTCACTGCTATCAGCATATATTTGTCTTATTCTATTAATTATCGCAGTTATGTGGTTTGTGGTATTGAGACGTACATCGGGGTTAGGAAGGAAAAGTGAGCAGTTGCGGGATATGTGGATCGTCGGATAATGAAGAAAAAATAGAAGTTAAATAAATTTATTAATTCTTAAAAATTATATGAAACAGTTATTATACAAAATGAGTTCTCAAGATAATATCAATCCAAATTGGCAAAAAATTGAAAATGACGTAAAAACAAAGCTTATAAAATTTCTTCAAAGTGATGAAGAATCGATTTCTTTAGATATAAATAGTGCTATAGAATATGCCTTTTATTTATATTATTTGAAAAAAATAATTAATGAAAATTAGTTAAATATACCTTGGAGTATCACTTTTTTTTCGAACTCGAGAGAAAAAAAGAAAAAAGAGCGCGAGAGTATGGATGAAGCCGAGTTCTTGGAATATAAACGAAACTTTGAAACTAAATTGGGTATTCCTACTACTCCGCACAAAAGAGAATTGAAAAATAAATCTTTAGCCCTTATTGAATATGCATAAAATCTAGCTAAGTAATAATCTCTGGTGGAGAGAAATTGTTACATTTAACTAGTCATTTATCTCAGGTAAGGGATGTTGCCTCTTACAATAAATGCTGGAAAAAATTCAAATCGAAAATTAATTCAGATCATAGGATAGGTAACTATAACCATTTTTGTGTTATGCGATTTTGGCATTGGAGCAGAATATTTACAAGTTGTTGGATTAACTTTTAAAGTAGTGTGAGGAGGATAAGGTTACTGGTCAAAACGACCTCTCTTAATAGCGGAAATTAGCTAAACTTTAATAGTTATATATTCACTTTTATAAAAAATATTAAGCCAACTAATTTGAGAATTATTGGCCGGAAACATTAGGTGAAGAATGCCGTTTTTTAAGCAATTACTTTTATAAGATGATGATAATTTGCCAAAATACAATGTCTTGAATTGAATTTCATGATTTCTTCCTGGACATACATACCAAACTCAAATGTGGTGGTAGTTTTGGATTGATTAAAAAACTCTGTAGGAAAACAAGTGTAGATTGTGTAGATCATGTTGACGTGGTGAAAAGATCTAATCCAGCAGGATTGAATGCTATGAAGGTAGAAAAAGGCTTTCAATACTTGGATATCAAATTAATTTTGAGAATTTATTTTAAAAAATTTAAAGCATCTAATCCTGTGTTGTCAAAACTCGGTATGTTACTGATGGATCTTTTGCTGAATTCAATTAAGATAGCAGATGTTTTTGAAGAAATTAAATCACGCCTCCTCTTCTGGATTATAAGAAGCAAGAATAACTTTATAATAATATTCATCCATTTGTAAAGGATGAATTTAAAGATATCCAAAACAACAAAGTTTACTAAAATAATATATTATAAAAGAAATCCAAACACTTGAAAGTAATCAGGAATTAATATAATTAAAAGAAAAATCTGAAGAATTAGAAGTAATATAATTACAACTGTGCAGTTTTGCATAGTTGTAATTAAGGCTTCGAATGAATCAATGAAATTCGAACCAATTAGAATCACCTAATTATTGATTCAAATCAGTTTGAACCGAATTAAATCGAATTCGAATTGTACTTTGATTTGATTTGATTTGATTCAAACTGATTCGAATCTATAGTAATCATTATCGTTTATTTATTAATGAATTGTGCAACTGTAAATTGTATTATTTTTTATTCGTCATTACATTATCATTATTATTATCAAGAATAATATTAGTGATGGTAGCCGAAATTTCCGAAATGAATTGGCCTAAACTTTGGTGAAACTAATTTTAATGGTTGAAATTATTTTGAAGTTTTTAAATAAAGTAGATTGATTTGGGCGAAACTAGCTTTTTTTCAAAAATAGTTTCAGCCACCATCACTAAATAATATCTTTTATCAATTAAAAATTTTAAATTTAAAATATACACAATCTTGGTTTAGCAGATAATTTGGGCAATTGGAAATTAAAATCCGTTATTATTATATTAATACAGTCAAAGCTTGTCACAGTGGATTATAATAATAATTAAATTCTTGTCATAATGGATTTTTAAATTTTTCTTATGTGTCCCGTTCATCCACCGTGACAAGGCTTGACTGCATTAAGAAATCCATTATATTGAGAAGAATTTTATTATTATTATAGTTTTAGTTGATGATTATTATTAAACCTCAACTCATTAAATTGAGGTACACTATTGAGATTCAGTGATGCTAGGACTGGGAAAACTCTGTTGAACGTCGCCACCAGATTAAGCACAACGCGAAAGTTGTTTGGTTGATTTTTTCTGTTTAGGAATAATTAACCAAAAATGGGCCACGGTACCGATCATCTATAATCATTAATTGCTTATAATACATAATAACAAATTGGTCAATTTCAAAATACTAAAACAAAAAAAATTATATCATTTTAAAAATTTAACCGATAAGTTTTATTGTTCACGACTCAAGCTTCAAAAATTATCGGCTAGTTTTTTCTTAAACTGAAAATTGGCTGAGCCTTAACATTTTGAAAATTCCGAATTTTGTTATACACTTAAGAAATTGAGACTAAGTAAATTTCGTGGAACAACTTTTTTTCAATAGAATATTTCTACAACATACATTTGATTTATTTGATTTATATATTTATTTCCTTTTTTTTTTAATTAATAAGTAAAAGACATTTACAACAAAAAAGTTTAGCGAACATATTACATTAAAAGAAAATCATTACATTGATTTTTGGGTAGAATTTACAACTTTTTATATATTCTGTTACATACCAGTTCAAACATAATTGTCCGAGGTCCTCTTTTCTTGATTAAATAATTTACTTTTTAAACCAATTAGTTTTGTTCGATATTTTGTTTTGGAAAGTTTTTCTTTAATTCAGCGATTTGTTCTTTTCGGAAACTTCAGGAGTTGGTTGCTTCTTCATTCTCTTCTATGGGAGAAGTTTTATCTTCTGTTGGCAAATCATCATTTTCGTCATTTTCGTTTTTTCAGCTAGTTTTGGTGATTTCAGAACCTTCATCTTTTCATTCTAACCTGACGACTTGTTCTTTAGTTTCTGGATCCAGCAAATTCAATCTTAACCCAAAAACAGAAAGGTTTTTTGAATTAACTAAGAGCCTTTATGATTTAGCGATTTCCTCTTGAAGAGCTTTTTCTAGGGATTATTTTTAGCCAATTCCACCAATTGCTCTTTTAATTCATTTGACACTCCATGTAATCCATGTTTCTCTAAATTTAGTAACTCGCCTAAGGAAATGCAAGTCACTCCCGTTATAATGACATTCGTTATAATGACGATCTTGTTATAATGACATTTTTTTAAAAACCAAATTTATAAATACAAATTTATGCCCGTTATAATGACACTCACTATTTATCCCGTTATACTAGTATAATGACATAATTTGTCAAAAATAATTTTTTTAATTATAGAATTTATCCCGTTATACTGACACCCGTTATAATGACATGTCAGTATAACGAAAGAACCAGTCAAAAACATTTGGTCACTTCTGAAAAAATTGAACAATAAAACGTTGATTAATATAGACAATGAATTATTAAAAGTCATAATTAAATTTTGTTTTAAAAATGACTTCAACCTCTGCGCCTTCATCCAAAAAAAGAAGTTCTTTAAGTGCTTTGCAAAAAAAAGAACTATGTAAGTGTGCTAAAAATGACCCTAGCTTAACTCGAGATAAATTAGCTAAAGATTTTTGAAATTAGTCGAAGCACAGTTTCAGTAATTTTATAAAGAATCAAACAAATGGCTTTCTGTTGATGAAACTGTTTCAACTTCTCAATTTAAAAAGCAAATTGGCCACAATTAGAAGAAACCCTAGCAATTTGGTTTGATGAAGCTATAAAACATAACTAAAGAAGAAGAGGTGGAGGTGGAAAATATTATTCATATTAATACTAACGACGCATTGAAAAGTTGCATAAACCTTCTTACTTATATACAACAAGAACAAGTACCAAAGTTTATAGTGGAGGATCGCTTATTAGATAGTTTACAAGAATTAAAAAAAAAAAAAAACAATTAAGTCAGAGTTTTAGAGAGGCTAAACAAATTAATTTAGATTTTTATGTTCAATAAAAATAAAATCATATGATAATGATTCTCACATGACTTTTATATTATAATGACAATCTCGTTATACTGACATTTTTTACTTGCACATGGAGTGTCATTATAACGGGAGTGACTTTGTAATATCAGGGTCATTCCACTACAAATCTAAGGAAAATAAATAATTATTGTAACGATATAAATACTGTATTTTGCTTAATGTTTAGCATCTAACTTTTAATTAGACTCTTATAACACAATAAGTTCTTTGACTTTTAAATTCCAACTTAAATCTAATTCAACTAAGCCATTTAAAGCACAATTTAAAAGGTTCTAAATTGGTTAAAGGATTTAAATTTAAATTTTCTAGTTAATTACTAGTTAAAGAAAGTTCCTCTAATATTTGAATTACTTAAATCTATTGCTTCTGAACTTATTGTTATTTTAAAAAAATTGTTTTTAGTTGACTCCAAAGAGGAAAAGTTATCCATTTTAACTAGATTGCTACTAGCATCTAAAAACTCTAATTTCCACAATATCTTAAATCCGGTTTAGTTAATAAATTGTATGAAAAGTCTAAACTTTTAAATCAGTTAGGTCTAGTTCACCTTACAATCCTAACTCGCTAATGACTAACCTCTCAATACTAGCTCTAATGTTAAGAGGATATTTATGGATTATCTAATCAAGCTTGAGCATCATCATTAAGCTCGACTAATTCTACCCGATCTGGTAAACCTAAAGCATCTATATTGTCTTTCTCATCAGGATCAAGAGGATCAACACTATAAGTAAGTTTTGGTTCCAACTGCTCCACTGGTACTTCTCACTTATTTAGCTGATTATTGTAGGTATATATTAACTTAATTGGTTGATTATGAGCTAGCGAAACTAAATTTAACTCTGGGAAATTCTTGATAATCATCTCTGCTAATTCATTATTGCTCAGGTTAATCTTCAATTACTATTTTTCCTTTAAATTTTTGCTGAAACAAAATAGATATTCCTGATCTTTTCTTTTACTGACTTTAGATCATTAAAATCCTTTTGCTCTTGTTTAGCTTTTAACCCTAGTCATTTTTGTAGTCGGGTTAATACCTCTTCCTTTGGATTACGTGAGGCAAGAATACCTTTATAAAGAACAAATTCAAAGATATCACTTGTCCAAAAGTAATATAAAATTTTTATTAAAATAATATATATAATAAAATAACTCTACAAGAGAATCAATGTAACTTTCTCTGATGACAAACAATGAATGTGAAAACCCAGCTTGACTACATAAAGATTTAATTTCATTGGAAATATTTGTTATCATATGGTCTCTCGACATATAAATCCTACGTTCCAGACATTCTAAACATATATATAATGCTTGCAATATCATGTACGCAAATTATATGTATTGATTTTTGCATAGTATTTTTGTATTATCCTGTTCTTGGTATTATTTTATCAATTCAGACAATTCATTTCATTATGCTCTTTTATATTATCTTTTCCTAATATTTGGAGACTTTCATCAGAAAAAATGCATGTATTATTATTCACATGATCATATCGCATATGTACAATTCCATAAGAAAGGGTGAATTTAACACTCCAACTTTTTTTTTGAATGAAATGCTCGTATGGATTTTATCATTGTACTGTCCAAAAAAGAAAATTATCAGCAGAATAGACTAAAAAAACATTATCCATCTTTATATATTCAATTAATTTAAAAAATGCGCGTATTCGAAATTATTATATTAATACCGGCCAACCAGAATGGTTGAAAACGAACTGAATTTTTAAATAAGTTATATATAAATATGTAGCTTTGAACTTCCATAATGGAAAAAATGGACCGATAGAAACAAAGCCTAGATCTTAACTTCATTTACACCGGTTTACCATTTTTCTAACTTTCTTAGTTGGAGGTTCGTATTTTTTCAAAGATCGTCTGTCACACCAATAAAAAAGTGAAATTTTATATGAATTACTCTAGATTTCCTAGCTTTGAATCTTTTGAACCTCAATGGCTTCACATACTTCTATGATAATAATAAAAGCAAACAGACCTTCTTCAAGGTGATCAATTTTTATTGGCGTCTGCATATACAAATTTAGAAATTTGAAATTGAAGCTAATGAAGATCTCAAATAATAATTTTGAATTTCACATGAAGTTTTTATTCATACAAGAAAATTATTTATTACTTTTGTCAATACCAACAGTTTTTAATTATTAAACGATTGCTAATGCTTACTATTTAAATATCAAAGCTTGATTATTTACTCGTTAATAAACCAATCATATATATTAATCATCATTATGGTATTAATATTAATATCGTTATTAAAGTAAATAAAGTTAAATTAATTTTATTTAATTAATGACTGATTAAAAATTTTTTTTTAAGATCCAAGAATGAATTAACTCCTCATTCCTTCCATTCGATATATGAAAAATTCAATTACAATTTGTCGATCTTACATTTTAAGAATTGTGGGGTTAATCATAAGTGTTTGGAGAATGAAGAATGAAAATCAGTTAAATACGTATAAAAACGAAGAAAAAAAAAACCAAAAAACCAAAAAATTAATTATTCATTTTCTTATTCTCTTCCCTCACTCTCATTCTCTCTACGTCATTTTTATCATCGTTAACCGTTTCCCTGCTCACTTTTTTTAATTCACCTAAATTATTTTTCATCCAAAAATCATATTTTTAAACCAAAGCTGTCTGTACTATTAATTATAAATTCGATAATTTATCATTTCTTCAAATTCATAATGGATCTTTCATGGTGTCCTAAATGTGATTGTCAAATATTTGCATTAGAAAATCTATACTGTAGCGAAGCTTGTAAAAGGAAAGATGAATTAAGTTCTTGTCGAATTAACAACAGTTATTATTACTCCTCATCATCACTGAGAAACTCTCGACAATCATCGTCACCTTCTATATCAAATTATTCATCACCAATAGCATCACCAAGACTAAATCCATCACGGATTCCTTCTTCGCCTTCCTTCAGCAACAATTAACTAAAACCACCACCACCACCACAATCTCAAGTCTGATTTATTTAAATAATTATTTATCAAAAAAAGACAATTTTTCATCATCTGATGGTCTAATAACTTGTGGCTTTAATTGGCTTACTTCTCTATCAATTACAACAGCTTTATTCAGAACAAAAATTACACTTAATGATTTTAATTCTAATGACTTTTTATGATGCAAAAAATTTACTACTTTAATATGAAGAAGACAATATTAATGACAAATATTTTTGATTTACTGGATGAAAATTTAATATATTCTTTTTTTGACGTAGAGGCTATACTCATGAATGAGTGGATGGGTGGATGGGTGGATGAATGATTAATATATAATTATTAGAAATTAGTTTTAACAACTATTTACCAATTAGAAGTTTTTTAAAAAACTTTAATTTGTGAAAAAAATTAATTTACTATATGTAAATAAATAACATGCTTTTTTTTTTGATGAAATATATGTCGTAAACTTCCTGATTTAAAGTTTTGTTGGGGCTAACTCAATCGAACAACCATTCCTGAAACTCGCATAAAGTTGTAAATTAAAGTAGCATAAAATTTACAAATTCGCTCGTTTTCAAAACGCTGTATAAAGAGAAATTTATTATATCTGAAACATTAAATGGTTCAAATAATACTGTTGATTCGTTGGAATTATTATAAATAAATTACTTTTTAAATTTGGGTGATCCTCTATATACAGGACCTTCCTAATTTGGAAGTGGCACATATGATTTTGTAGAACCTGAATTAGCAAAGGTTCACGCAGATCATCATAAGTGCCACTTCCAAATTAGGAAGGTCCTGTATATGGGGGTATGGACAATGGAAAAAGGGGAAACGTGATTTTGAGAAAATTAAAAGATCTACATTTCTACTATATATTGGTTTTTAAAGATTTTATTAAGTGGACATAGTTTCTAATCTAAAATTAATCTGTATGATGAATTGCATATAGAAATGCTATTGATTCAAATCCGTGATGATTGTAGTTATCTTTGTTTTTATTGTCTGTGCCTATTTACTATTTTTTAAAGAACTTTAACAGAAAATATCTCAAGTGTATGGTATCTAAGCTAAAATTAATCCTTATGGTGAATTACACGTAAAAGTGTTATTAGCTCAAAATCATGATTTGGTAGTTTCCCCCTTTTCTATTGTCCATGTCCCATATTATTTTCCATTAAATTTATGTTCTTAGCAGTCAATTGGTATTTCAAATTTAGGGGAAATGTAAAATTTTGTTGTACCACACAATTTTACTATGAAAGATTCAATAAGGCTTCAATTTATTAATTAAAAAGGTCACATATACTAATTAAAACATATACCTTATTTAGAATTAACCAATTATTATTTTTATTTTATTTTCCTTATATACATATCAAAATAATGATAAACTTTAAAATCTAAAGGCTTAATTTTGATTTTTACTATCTGGAGGTGGTCACGAATTTTCGAAATAATGGTTAAAAATTCGCATACCGTAAAATCTTACCCGTGACATTTCCTTTTTTATAGTTTGTCATTCGAGATTTTACGGTATTAGTATATTATTTTTGATGATCAATCAACCATCGTGATTAGTAAATAATAAACAACTCTAGTTATTGCTACATAGTGAATTTTATTATTGATTTAAACAGAATATTCCATATTTACTTTATTATCAAAGAAATAAATAATTTAATATATATATATTAATAACACATATATTGTAGAAATATCTAACTGAAAGAATAAATAACATACAAAAATGTACATTTTATCTATCAATTTATTTTGTTTGATTAGATTTTGATTAATCTTCACCAGCTGGTACTTCCTCCTTTAAATATCTAATAAACTTCACTCTCATTTCAGTTTGATCATTACCTTTTAATACATCACTAATAAAATATGCTTCAACTTGTAGTTGAACCTTTTAGGAGATTTAAATTATTAATATGAAAATAAAATTTCTCCCATCCATTCTCCATTATCCACATTCATTATCATTATTATGATAACTTACCATTTCTAAAGAACCTCTTAATACACCACATAATATATTTGAATACCATAACTCATCCATATTTCCATCATCTGGCAATTCAACAAACTCGGCTAATGGATTCTCATCAAAAATAAGTGAAAATTCTATTAAATCTTTGCCATTCTGTGACCAATTTGTTAAAGTTGGTGTAATATTTAAAAAAATCTTGAATCCAACCTTTTTTTTAAAAATAATAATTAATTAGATTAATAATCTATCAACTTTATATATTTAGCATTAACAATATACATATACATATACATATTTTGGATCAAAACCTTGGAAATAACTTCCGCAGTCTCGCGAAAATCTGCACAACGTCCTAAACTTGATCTTGCAAGAAAATCTTCAATCAATCTTACACCAATATTATATCCCCTATATATATATATATCAAAAGAAAAAAAAACTTATTAATCTTTACTTCCATTAAAACTCATTCCATCCAACTATAGTAATATCATTACTACTATTACATTTTTTCTAATTGCTTGTTGACTTCTTGACAATCTTCATAATCTTTGACAAGTTGTGCAACAATTGAACCATAAGTTAAAGTAAATAATTCTGCATTCTATTAATTAAATTAGAAGACAATTAAATTAAATTTTTTAAAAATTAATTATTGAAAAAATAAAGAAACAAAGAAAATTACAATTTTTTCAACACGATTTTTCCATACTTCTTCACCTAATGTTTTATATTGTTTAAGAGACATGATTAATTATGATATAAAAGTAATAAACTTTTATTTTATTTATTTATATGTCACACCAAATGAAAATATGCATGAGAATGTGCTCTCGATAAGTTTGATAAGTCAGCACCATGCACAGCCACTTGTGGCTGATTAATCGAATTTTGTCCATGTACTAGTTTTTCCCGATTTGGAAAATTTTATCAAAGTCTCCAAAATAATTGTAATATCTTTATTCGATTGGTCTTAATTCTTCACCCCAAAAAGATAGCTTTTATTTTTAATCCCAGTCTTGCTGATGACGATCATATTAATAAAGAAGAAATTCTACTTTTAAAATAAGAACCAATAATAGTGATTAAAGAAAATTTCCCTGACTAATCTTTAATCAAAGTGAAAAAATATTCTTGCCAATAAAAAAATTTTTTTGAAAAGAAGGTACACATATTATTATAAATAAATATATATGGTGCAAGTCACCTAGTCCCGCAACTTGCTGCGCCTCGTGGCCAATTTTGGGAAAAATCATCAAAACTC